AAAAATTAAAATATGAAAATAGAACGGAACAATATTTTCTTTATTTATCATCTTCAGCATAGATTTTAATCATCATATGAAGTTATGGCTTTATTGATCTAAGGAGATGACTTTTAACCAATGGGCTATCGGTTCGAACCCCGTTTCAAAATAACAAGGTTTAGGTAGCTAGATAATAGTAACACCATTAGCAATAGGTATGTGTACAAAGTTGCTGTGTGCAATCTCGATTCGATTTCAATTTCCCAATACCACCATCTCATGAAAACAACTAAATGTAGCATAAAACAAACATTAGCCGATGAGATCAGAAAGCATCTAATATAAGGAACCTCCAAACTAGTAAGAAAGGAGTAAACAGATTCATCAGTCTATCACATCATAATCACTATCAACTTTTATACTAAGTCATACCAGATAACGTTTCCTGCCCAACTAACAGATAGTAATGCGACATACAAAAACACCTTCACTCCATAGTATTCCATTATAAACTGACTGTCTTTCTGATCTTAAACAGAGAAATGCATTCACGGTAGTGATTTTGTTAGGATCGCATATATATATATATATATATATATATATATATATATATATATATATATATATATATATATATATGATTAGTTCAACGAACCGGTGTCAATGGAAGGATTATGAATATAAGTATAACCTTCCTAATTAATACAAGGATAATCAGAGATGTATGTGCCAATGTGACATTTAATATTGAACGCTTCATATTTAGCCCTCATCACAGAAACTAACATTTTCTGATGTAAATGGTTAATGATTTCACAGCTTGCTACCACCTTTGTTCTGGACATTAAGCGACATCTTTGAACGGAATAACCCTAAAAGTCATTCCTCGAAAAGCTGCCAAAAAGGCTTCTAAGCCGAAATTGCCAATGGTTGATAAGAAGAAGAGGAGAAGCGAGACCTGTGCCATCTACATCTACAGGGTTCTGCGCTAAGTACATCCCGACACTGGTATCTCTTCGAAGGCAATTTCAATCATAAACTCGTTTGTGAAGGACGTCTTCGAGCGTATTGCTGCTAAGGCAAGCCGATTCTTTCACTAAAACAAGAAGTCGACAATCTCCAGCCGCCAGGTGCAGACTGTCGTTCAATTTCTGCTGTGGGGTGAACTACCTAAGCACGCTGTATCTCAGGGCACTAACGCCGTGACGACGTACAGTGGCTCCAAGTGGATTGGATTAAGTTATGAAGTAGAGATTCACTGTAAATAATTTTGAATAGCACTTATACTATTCAAGTATTCATTCCTAAAGTTTGGAGGCTTCAGTCCAACAACTTACATGTCTTATACCAGAAGTAGGGACGGCCATATAATTAGTTCCTATCTTTATTTGGCTACTCTGAGTTGTTATACATATACAGACATAGTAGAGGATGTCAAAGCCATGATAGGAAAAACAGCAACACAGGTCTCCCTTCATTCATCTAAAGTCAATGTGGAGATCTACTGCAACTGTAACTGCACTGTTCCACTAGGAACCCAGGGGACAAATTAATATAATAAATATGAAATACACAGCACGACTGTCTTATAATCTTTGAGTGACATGAAAATGAATTCCAATTTGCATGCTGTTATGGGTTTCAACGCAATAATACCTAATGGACATCCCTGGCTCTTATACAAGCTTACCTCATAGTCTAATGTACAAACTTGTAATGCGTTTTTTTTGTTACATTTCCATCTCATACACAATTGCATGTTTTGTCACAAGCGTCGGTGATAAGCGAAAACGTAAAGTTTACAAGTATGACATCACAGATAAGTTGACGATTCATGTTGCGAAAGAATATCAATCACAACAGATGCCTAGTTACCATCTATACCGATTATATATACTGACTACAGTACAATCAGAATAAAGTACAGCAGTCACACTTAGATTCAATCAATTCCAAGGGATACTGCAAAGTGAATTTGTCAACAAATATTCTTGTGATATCAAAGCCAATAATTCAGCACCGTTAGTGATAGCTCATATCGATAACAATAGGCCTGATGGTTTCAGTCTTTACGTACTGCTCAAAATAAATCTACCTACCACCGTCAACCCCTACTACTACTACTACTGGTAATAATAATGATAATAATAATACAGTATATCACATTTTAGTTTTTTCCTGTTATTTGCCTTCCACTACGCCTTTTTGAGTAATTAACAATCGCCTTATCCTAGAGATACTATGTGGAAAAAAAACTTTACAATAAAACAATAACAATAGTGTTAATATATGCAATAATGCATACAGGATAGTAAGAAGCGAGTGTTAATTTACTAAGAGAAGAATAACAAGTAGGTTATACTTCAACACTTTCTTTCCGTATAGAAAATGCATACTAAACAAGGTATAGTTCTGTTATTGTATTGATCTATGCGAACACAAAATTCTGTGATGCCGTTGTTTGCTCACCCTGGTGATAATGAAAAAAGCTATGAATAAATTTTTTCAGCATCTAATAAAACAACTGTAACCAGTGGCTAATAAGAATATAGGAGATGATCAACAAATGACCCATCTGGTGGTGCTAAAGATGCAACAATGAATCTGATAAAAACCTTTAAATCCCAACGCAATATAATATAACTTTTTCCTATTAGCCCAGGAAAGAGTAAGGTATCGCAGCAAGGAATAGGGGGGTTAGTAAACTATGACAGCAAAAGTTGGGTTATGACGTAGTTTCAACTTCCGTACATAATATGCCAAGTGAGATTGGTGTTATCTGCATCTAGTCACCATCCCGCCAAGCTTTATCTCAAATCAGTCAAGCAATTACTCAAATCACTCATGAACCTAAAATGTTCAAATGTGAAAAACATAATAAGCTTCACTTTTAGTAGAGTCAACGTCCATAGTAAGCCTGTTGTGAATACAAATTAAATCAATCTCGACTTCTACTGATCCATAAAACCACAAAACCAATAGAAATATCCACAAAGAGGAGATTACCATCTCCTGATATTACCAAGTCAATTGACTTCTCTCTTCGTTTAATACTTAAATATTGAGTGGTAATTAGAAAATAAATAAACCATACACTGAAGACCGACTCTATAACGATCAAACAAACTAACAGACCAGATGAAACGGAAATAGTAAGCCTAACTTAAGGACCATACTGATAACTATGAAAGCTCAGGAACAATGGGTATTGAGGGTCACCAATGACAGAAGTTTAACATTGAGTACATTTAAGGAAGCTTTCTAAATGAAGTTAGAAATACAAATCTGACAGACCAAAAAATTTACTCAGTAGACCTATACTTTCAAAGTAAGCAGTGTAAACTGGACGATTTCAAAGGATTGAAAGTACTTCATAATAAGATGTAACTCACACTGAAGATGACTTCATTATTCCTGTATATTTTGTAAAACGCCATAACTAGACACAACCATGAAGAAAATTCAAAACCTTAAATGACTTGATGGTTATAAACCTACCGACTTTTAAATATGACAGTGAACTTTAAATGACAGACTCGCTTTAAAGGGAGTAACAGGAAAATGAAGGTGGTAATAAGAGTGGAACGGTAGAAGTTTCAACTTTAAGATTGGGTACGCATCCTAATATTACTTCAAAAACATGCAAACTAACAGTCCTCACAAATATTTGACCTTAAGTTACAGTGAATTCGCTTACATGAAGGGGTGATGCTTAATTATCGAATTTCTTAATGTTAAAGCTAAGAAAAACTAAAAAAATGCTGACATAAAGGTTTCATTACACAGCATACTATGCTTAGCCAGGTACTAAACGAAAGTTGCCGTTCAGAATAAAAACTAAAATTCTGCCTCGTAATTGAACACATCGTCATAGACGCATCGGTATTGTGTTTTCATACATATAACTTTACCTCCATTTTTTAACATTCAATAGCCTTAAAGAACACTATAATTATAGCTTTTATTCGCCTTTTCTTCTACCCCCCCCTTCCGATCTACTGAAGGTAAATGTAGAAAATAGCAGTGATTTGGAATACTGTTCTCTTGGCAATCATCGCCACTGGAAACAATAGTGTCACTCTAACTTAGGACAAGGTTATTTTCTGGTTCTTGTTAGCTTTCTGAGGTCAACTAATTGCGTAGATAGAAATTAACGTGAAACAGTATCAAAGTTCATGGGTAAGGACGCCAAAAATTTTCGAAATGATTGTTGATATGTCCTGCTGTGAGACAAACACTTAGATATATGCTTGGCAATTCTATATCATTTGTTCAACAAATATTACATGTGAAAATTGAGCTATAGGAATAAGTGAAATTATCATATTCCTGTTTGCCTCACTATCCAGAAGTGAATATAAATAAATGACAACAACCTCTGTATTCGTTCTCCATTAATCCAAAAGTGCACGTGTTCTCAAACCATGGCAAATTTAAATACAGGAATATGCACAAGTAGGGAGACATGCATATATAATTCTAGCTGTTGCCATAACAACCAAAAGTACAGACATGCTAATTCCGATAATCAGTTGCAACTATTTTTAACTAAATGGCAGTGCAGACAAGTAGTGAAGACGTCTTTAAAACCACCAAAAGTTTACAACTCCATGTTTTCTTATATACTTGAATTTGAGTCAACCTACTTGTAACCTAGTGACAGCACACAAAAGGTTACTAATCAAATACAAACTTATCGATCAATACCTAAAACAAAATTTTCAGAAAAGTAATATTTGTTGATCCAAAAATTATATAAAAGTCTTAACATATGTTAAGAATTTCGGTAACTAACTCTGAAACCCATTAAAACTGCACTTTCTATAACCTTATAAAACCAAACGACGACTCAGGAGAATAACCCCGCTGAATTATGTATCTTACTCAGACTGTGAAAACTAGTTAACAATAGAAAGCATATTGTCTTGATTCATTACGTGATGTTTGATGTACAGGTACTGTGAATTTACACCACAACTCAGACAGAGACATAAACACATAAAAGCTACTGGAATTACCTGAATCGAAGCTTCCTGTTTCCGAGTTTGATCTACTGGGTATTTTTTTCTTTGCTGATGCTGCAGAAAGATGCGACTCCTATGTTAACATGTTGACATAGCAGTGGTGACAATATAGTCGACTTGCCTTGGTCTGATCTTCCAAAACAGAACCGTCCCCTTTGGGTTGTGGAGCGATAGACACTGCTTCTAGCATTTTGTCTACGCTCTTCAGATCTAAGCCACTTGTCATAATACAATGTGACTTGCATTCGATATGCCGCCACTTCATCGACCTTCGCAATCGTTTGATTTCTCTTCCAATATCCAATATATGTATAACAAGCTTGTACATGAGAGTTGATCTCTTTGTGTAAGCTTCTGGGCCCTACATAGCAATTTTAAGCTTTTGATGGATTCAAAAGCAATAGATTTATTCATTCATCTATGTTTTCGTCCTTTTCCTGAAAAACCACTCTCACATGACGTCCCTATACCTCAAGAAGGACAAAGCCATCCTGGAACGGGTTTGCAGAAGACCTATGAAGAAAGTGATTGGGCTACGGTACAAACCTTACCCGGATCACTTGGCTGCTAATGGATTTGCAGCCTGTAAAATGACGGATGATCAGAGGGGATATCATCAAAATGTATCGCATTACCCATAATCCCCTTCATCCTAACAGACTCCTCTCAGACTTCAAGAAGAAACGCCACCTTAGGGTCACCGGTTAAGAGTAGAGTATGAGAGAGCACATTTGAAGATCTTTGATAGCTCGGTTGCAGTGTAGCGTCACACACTTCTCCAGAACCAATAGCCTAGGGTTTGACGAGATTCAACATTGATGCTGACCCTCATAGTTTAAATGGACTCGCTAAGCTGAAGGCACCCGGTCAAGCATCCTCACCATTTGGCATGCTGTTGTGTTACGTTGCGCAGCTCGTGATCGACTCTCCAGCCAGTCAGTTGGAACGCATCGGTATCTTGGCGCGGCCTCACAAATATGCCATACCATTCGACTATGTTATTGCGTTCTTTCCTGGTCTCGTATTCGTAGATATGTAACAAGTTCGAATGGTTGAGGACTGGCCCCTACGTCTGTCAAGTTCGCACCAGGGCAATTCTTTCAGAGGCTTTCACAGCCCCATCCACTTATTCCTTCAAAAGTGGATTAGACTCACGTTTTGAGCCTTGCGGTTCGCATTGGCTGTACCCAAGAAGCTTTCCCCCGTCTACAGATCGGGAGGAGTGGTACCATCTTAGGACTGGATTTAATAACAATCAATTATCTTTATTTTTCAGGTTTTTCGGGACCAAGAGGACGATTACGATCATTCCAAACCTAAAAAGTGCTCCAACAACACAGACGCACAACTCAAGGAACCATCACTCATTGGTTCTGCAACGGGAAGTCTGAGGGTGGAACTCTGTTTTCGGAGGTTTATTGTTGATTAAACTCGCATGGAGACGCATCGTTTATTCTAGGACCATCTCAGACTGTTTCGAATTTATCGCCAAACAAATATAGGAGCAATCAAGGAACGAGTAAATAAAACAGGAGAGAAAGATATTGGTAAAAAATCTGGGTAGATTTAGAGAGGGTAAGAAAGAAACCAGCGATATTGAAAATTTGAGTAGAAAGCGTCAAATCGCAAACCCTAGGCCAAGGCGAAAGTAGCATAGGAAATGACGGTGGGAACAAGAGGAACGGAAGTAGCAAGGATGGCGTGTTCCGAGCCTTCCATATTCTTCCGTGAAATACCTCTTGTGGCTAGCTTTTAATCATTTGATTGCTATATGCAGTAGTGGTCCATACCTTGTTACTGTGTGTTATTGGCATTTCTTCATGCATTGTTCCCGAATATCTCTACTTTGACTGGCACGGCGTTTTCAATCTATGGGTTGTAATACCGTCATCAGCTGTTTACATCCCTTTAAACCACTGTTATATATATATATATATATATATATATATAGAGAGAGAGAGAGAGAGAGAGAGACTGTTTTCCACCTCTCTGGCTGTCTTCATCTAAGTCTAAACCACGATTTCGTAACAAGATGCATCCATTAGAAGTAACAAAAAGCGCTTGACAAAATCGCCCAGCTTTGCTGCCATTACACCTAGCAAGACTTCGTCAGCACTCTGTAGGAGCAGTAAGGACATTTTTGATAGTCCTGCATTCCACCTCAAGAATGAAGTCACTTCCCAACCAACTCCATTTGCTTGGGTATATGATATTGCTTCCGATACTCCGAAACCTCCTCCGAATATGGGCGAAGTCAGTGAATTTCTTCAAAAAATGTGCAAAGACTGTTTGGAGGGCTCGGTACTCTCTCTAATTCAGCAAATCACAAGCCAGACGTATCGTTGCAAATTGGTACCGCATATAGTTTGTCTACCGCAAGCTCCACACAGAACCCGTCCACTGAACTGCAGCCTGAACTTGTGAATACGGCAATTTTTGATCTTACGATTACTGAAACTAAATCACAGCTAAATAACGTTTCTTTAATCGACCTATTTATCAAAGTGTCCAGCTACGACTCAGTTGATCCTGAGGTCCTATCTGAGACGGAGACTGTAGTACACCTTATTTTTTTGAGGTCATTGAGCGTGGACGGGGATGTTATAATGTAGTTGTTGAAAACACTCAAGTTAAATAACCCCTAAACTCTACCCGCCCACCTCTCCCCAGAGCTGCGAACCTTCTGGTAGCTTCATGTGGCCGCATACAAAACCAAAACTCAGAGCCAAGTCTCAGTCGTCCCTTTCTTATTAATTTTGATTCACGAACCATAGAAGATGGTGTCATGTGTTCTCCGTCAAAGATTAAGACCATGCTGCCTCTGATATAACGTCTATGCAAAGGCGCAAGCAGCCAGCTTCATGGATGGCATGTGGTGCCCACTTTCCTAGACAAATGATCCTAACCCTGGTATTCAGAACACACCAAACCCATCCATTAACCCATACGTGACTGTGGCGTAAACAGTCGGATGACGGTATCACAACCCATAGATTGAAAACGCCGTGCCAGTCAAAGTGGAGATATTCGGGAACAATGCATGAAGAAATGCCAATAATACACAGTAACAGGGTATGGACCACTACTGCATATAACAATTAAATGATTAAAAGCTAGCCACAAGAGGTATTTCACGGAAGAATATGGAAGGCTCGGAACACGCCATCGTTGCTACTTCCATGGTCCGATACAAAGCACAGACACCACGCACTCCTGAAAAGCAGTCCGCCAGTTCACAGAACTACAAAGGAAACAAATAATAATACATGACCTTGTAGCAGTCACTGATGAGACAAAGTTATCGGATATTTCTAGTGTCTTCCATAAGAAACGATCAAAAAACGCTTACCATTAAATGTGTAGCCGAGTGAATGAACGTTTATGTTTCTGCGGTTTAACTTAACGTGTAGGCTCACTATTTGAGCCCAAATTAAGCCTACTGTACGTCAGGCACAGAATGCGAGTAGCATTCTCATCGAAGCACCCATATACTTCACAAGAAGTCTATAATGATTAAAAACCCTGAGAAACCGCAACCTCATAGCTTACACTCATCTGTGGGTCTATTTTTATTGCCAAACTTTGATCTTTCGATCCAAAGGCCATGCGTAGTGAGGAGCTCTTAAACGATTAATCGCTTAGATTGTCGGCCCCAGCGTGGATGACAACGCTCCTTCTTGCATGGACATTTTCGGATGATTAACAAGGCAGCCCAAAGAAAAAAACTTAGGTTTCTTTAATGAAGTCAGCCAATCACTTTACATGGTACCGCACACCCCGCTGATTTTGGAAATATTTTGAAAGAAAACTCCCCCGCTTGTCGTCACATCAGTCGATGAAGTCATTTTCCTTGACATTTACAGATGCACACCACACATATGTATGAAGAAAGACTGTTTTGTTTCGACAGATCTGTTACATTTTACCCACTTTCTTGTTCTACGTGATTGACAGCTGCATTGAGTCACTGCTGTTGCTTGCGTTAGGAGTGATGAGTGTGAATGTGGGCTTAATAACTGGTCTCTGTTTATGTGTCCACGCTGGTCTTGAGACAGACTAAACTGGGCAAGCTTGGTTATTGTGCTAAAACTTGAGCCCAAACCAGACATTCCCTACCAACGTTTTGTCACCCATTTTTCTACTTCTTCACGCTAAGACTTCCGTAGAAACACACTTCCTGACGCCTTTTGCGTTTGTCTTTGCCAGAGTGACTGTTTCTCGAGTATCGTTAACATCTGATTTTTTAATTTAAAGTTCCATCCCTAATTCAACCCTATCGTGGAATAACAAAACTGCTACACGTTCCACAAATTCCAACGGCATAACTCATGGCGGCGTGTTGCCAACGAGGGAACGTCCATCTGATTCCGCAGGTAAAATAATTACTCCGTCAAACGATGGTCGACATCCCAGGCCTGATAGCTCCGAACAGCGGGAAGCTAAAAAGCAGAGCATTGGTGGTATTGGGTCAAACGGCCATGGATCCACAGGGGAAGAAAAAAGTGGATCTCTTCGAAGCGCTTAGGTATCTGTACATCCAACGAAAGTAGCGGTTCGTAACTGTCGAGCGTGTTTTGATTTTGTTCTTGCAATGTATTCGAAGACACTGACCACCTATTTGCTTGGCTTCATTCAATTTGCCTGTGTGACAATACTGAACTTCTTGTTTCCATTGGTGTCACCAATGCACTTTGTCTTGGCTAGAAACTGCAGTTGCCGTCAAAATTTAAGGTTTGTAACCAACTTTTGAACACATTTTGTTGTGGAGGACAACTTTCACAGGGTTCACTTACTGTTCGAATATGCATTCCTGGTTTGACAACCAACTGTTTTGTACCCGCTTGGTTTCGTTTTGGGTCTGGGAACTCTGGAAATAAGTATCCTCGTTACGTATCAATCGGTGGATTTGCCGTAGCACAAGCTCTCCAGTTTGGCTGAGTTTCTTTGGACGAAGATTTGGTTCATTCCCCTTTGAGAACAAGTTTTAATATTCGGGGTATTCTGCTCCATCCAATATGTCTTTGGATCGCGGAAATCGATCTGCTGAACCAGTTCACACTGCTGGATCTAGACATAGGAGGGAGTCCCTACATGTAGACAATAATTTGGAATTTCCCAATACTTTGTGTGATGATAGGGAAGATAAAGTGAGTGTTGGTGTTGATAGCATGTACGGTTAAAGTGGTATGCTTGATTATGTTAATTGCCAGGCACCTAAACCTTTGTCGGGGGACAAAAGGCCAGAAAGGGAATTGGGATCAGGCG